ATCTAATTGTTGTTACCATTTTCTATGGATCGTTAATGATTGTTTACCTCCTGCCAGATGGCTCGCTAATGAGAAATTCATCCAAACTCTTCTCTGTATTCTATACCATCCTCACTCCTATGGTCAATCCCCTCATTTATAGTTTGAGGAACAAGGAAGTGAAGGAGGGTTTGAGAAAATTACTCCAGGTGTACTCCTAGGTTTCTGACTCTATATCTCAGTTTCTCAGCCTGAGTCTCTCTGAATATGTTTTCTACAAATCCGTTGATCCAATGCTAATAGTGGCAATGGTGAGAGATTATCTGAGGTGTAAGACAAAAGATTGGAAAGGAAAGCAGATCTATACATAAATGCTTTTAGGAGTGGGCAAACGGGCAAGAGACAAAATATAGGTGGGGTCATCCTATGTTTGTGGCCATTTTGGATTAATTAACATGAGCTGCTGACATCACTACATTTAGAAAAAGAAAGAAATGTACTTTTAAAAGACTATAACACAATTCATTTGAAATAAAATGATAATAACTAATTAACTTTCAATTTTATTCCATCAATTAGAAATGTAAGATCACTTTTTTTGGAACCCTTATTATAGTTGTCTGTATGATTCAATTTCATTTCCAAGGTATAATTGAGTTTTTTTATTGGTTGATTATGGGTGAATATATGAAATCTGCTACGTTATTCCACTTACTTTCTATAGGGATTTGCAAATATAATTTTTAAATACATAAATAAAAAGAAGAAACTATTTATATTTCTTTTAAAGTGTGGACAAAAGTAAAAGTAACAGATTAATCTACTCAGACAGAACATTTGTGAGTGCATGTGTGCATTTCATATTTTAACTTTTTTTTTTTTTTAATATATATCTCAGCAGACAATGAGTGCTTAAGACCATTACTGCAATGCATGATTAAGAGCTGGATCTGATGTGAGGTTATTAGGTTAGACTCTTTGAAAGGAAAAGAAGACTTAACTTAGCCAGAGCTAACATTATTTTAATGGACTTTTTCTACCCATGAGTACATGTAATCCAACCCAATCATTTTGACATATATCGCAGCTGGGATATAAATATATGTCCCATGGAATCAGTTCTTCAGAAAATTTAAAATTATGAAAAGGAAATGTTTTGGATGGAAGTGATTCTTCTGATTTGGTTCAACTACAGTTACATACATTCAAAGTTCAGCCATATAATCACTTTTTTATGTGTCACGACCTTTATGTTTGTTGTATATTCCATGGACCTGCTGATCTTGAATATCTAAATGCTTATCCACACTGTTACCTCATTTCCAGAATGGACCAACAAATATCATTGAAGGGTAGAAACAGAAAATGTCACCCTGTATTCAACCTCTACTCACTATTAAAATGACCTCCATGTGTGTTTTACTGGTGAGGTATTAAGTACTCTTTCCTCCTGATGTTGCTTCAGATGCCTCAGCCAAGCCAGAGATTGCCCTGATCTTGAATTTCAGGTAGAGCTTTCCTTTACCAGGAGTGCTGAAAACAGCCACAGCGGTTATCACCTTCGTCTATTATATAGGAGTTATTGATTTAAAAGCAGCAGAGATGATAATGATGATGATGATGATGATTAGTTTATCATCATCATCATCATCATCATCATCATCATCATCATCATCATCATC